ACATATAAGTAAAAAAATCACTTTAACTTATTTAAAAGTAATAATTTTTTTTTATAATTTCAAAAGCTATTTATAGATAAAAAAAATATTAACTTCAACATTTTCAAGTAAATATTTAGATTTATTTAAATTTTTTAAATTAATTATTAATAAAAAAGTTACTATAAAATAAAAAAACCAAAAAACATAGGAAAACACCGTGCACTTACAATTATAAGTTTTTTTTTATTACTTTTAAATAATTTGAAGTGATTTTTTTACTTATAAGTAACTTTTTACATTTTAGACAGTGTAATCTTTTTATTAATATTTAATTTAAAAAATTAAATATATCTAAATATTTATTCTTAAAAAATTTTAAGTTCTTATTGTTTTTACTTATAAGTAGCTTTTGTAATTATAAGAGAATAAGAGATTAATATTTCTTTTATTTATAAATAGCTTTTACAATTATAATTTTTTTATTACTTTTAAATAATTTGAAGTGATTTTTTACTTATAAGTAACTCTTTTCATTCTAGGTAGTGTAATTTTTTTTATTAATACTTAATTTAAACTCTAAATATTTACTTAAAAATGTTGAAGTTAATATATTTTTTTTTATCTATAAGTAACTTTTACAATTATAAATTTTTTATTACTTTTAAATAATTTGAAGTGATTTTTTAGTTATTAGTAACTTTTTACATTTTAGAAATAAAAAATTACTTTTATGTAAAAAATTATTTAAAAAAATATTATTACTAATAAAATTATAGGATATGGTCGATAGTTGATAACGTGAAAAAATGGAGAAAGAGTACCGTGTGTCAGATTCAAAATATGTAAGTTGCAGATAAAATAGAAAATGATGTCGTTTCTGGAGACCAATTAAAAAAAAGTTACAGCTTGACAAAATATTACGAGTGATAAAATTATAAGATATGGCTAATAGTTGATAGCGTGAGAAAATGTAGAAGGCGTAAGACCAAATCAATTCAATGTGAAAGCCAATGTGACAAAAATGAAAAGTAAACCGACATTTTCTCTTTTAAGGTAATGAGAAATTTAGATATATTTAATTATTTTAAATTAAATATTTATTAATAAAAAATTACTATTAAAAAAAATATTTCACCACTCCGTACACGGAGTGAAATCACTCTGTGCAAAAGGAGCTCATTTTAAAAATTCAAAAGGAGAGAACTCTCATTTTGAAAGGAGAGACCATCTCTCCGTCCACGGAGGATTTTTATATTTATATATATGGAGGGATAATTTTGTTCATATGATACTTTGATATAAAATTCTTTTATGGTAAAATTTAATTTGTTCAATTTTAATTAATTAAATAATATTTATATGTTATTTATTTAATTTTTGTAACTTTCTCTTAATTTATTTGTTTATTTTGTTTTAATAAAATAATCTTTATACATTCTTTATGATAGAACGATATTCGTTAAATTTGAATTAAATAATATTTATTTTTTAAATCGTTTTAATTTAATTTAAAAACTTTATAATACTTTTTTTTCTATTTTAATCTGTAATTTATATTTAATTTCGTTTATTTATTATATAATATATAGTATAGTATTGATTTTAATCAAGTGAAGAAGTGTGTGAAAATGAAGAAATATTGTAGTGGAGGTGATATCGCAATGAAACGACGTGTGAAAATGGTGAAATGACGTTTGAAAAGAATGTTACAGTGTGATTGAATAGAATAATTTACTATTGTCAAACCAATTTCAAATCGATTTCATGTGAAAATCTATGTGACAAAAATGAATAGTAACTTCACATTCTGTCTTTTAAGATAAGGAGGTATGTATCTTAAAATAATTGTTCACCTGTATTAATAGTCAGAGAAATTTAGAAGGAATCACCATAAGAAATGAATTTTAAGAAAAATACTTCTTTTTGCACAGAAACAAAAGTTACAAAAAAATATCGAACAAAAAGAATATTTATTCTGCCTGAAATAGTTGACATGGATTTAATTGGTACGGCTTTGTTTTTTCATTTTTTTTAAAATTCATGTGAGCTTATAAGTTAAAACAAAAGTATAATCATGATTAAGATAAAAAAAGAAAAAAAAAACTTAATAGTTGAATGAACGGAAATCCATCAAGCGATCAACGTCTAGGAAAGTTACCATTTTTACATTGGGGGTAACTGCGTCAAATTTCTTCCAACTTTTGTCTTTATTGTGAAATATTTCATATCCTTTTATTTTGATGGAAAACCCCCTTAAATGACTCAAACTCCGTGGAATACCCCATGCCGTTCAATTTGTTAGTTTAAACGGTTAATGCACTAAAGAGGGCCAAATTAAAAAATGAATAGTCGTGATATCAAACCTTTCAATTTATTACATATTATACTTAAATTTTTTATTCTACAAGGTTTGGACCATCTAGAGGGTTTTCAACCAAAATGAAAGTATACGGTATTCCACAATAAAGACAATGGTCACAAAATTTTGCTCCAATTATATTTCACAACTTTACTAGTGAAGTGAGTGAAAAACAGTTCATTATCAGTAAACACTAAACAGCGCTGCAAAATTCAAAGGCCAGAGATACTGCTGCCTAGCGAACATGGTGGGTTGGTGGGATGGTGGGGACCAAATTGCTATAAAAACCATAAATTTGGGACCATAGTATAAATTCCGCCAAAAGGACTTGACAGAAAATGTAGGCTTAAAAATCTTGAAATGACCAATAGGGTTTAGCAGAGGTTCTAATTCCTTCTTATACAACCCCTTATCTGCAGCTCTACACACACATACGCAAGAATATCAATCACTCTGGCTTCCACAACTCCCTTTTCTCCGAGCCCCAGAGCTCAGTTCAGCCTCCCCTCTTCTTCTCATTCTTCCTCTTCATGGAAACGCCACAAAAATCCGAACTTTCTTTCAATTTCACCCTCAGAGCTTCCCATATTCTGTCAAAATCCCGATCTTTCCTCTTACTCTTTCCCTCACACCCTCAAACTCCCTACCCTTCGTAATGCCGCCCCTCTTCTTGTACCCCCTTTATCTGACTCTGCCGATGATAATTATGTGGAATCCCACCAAAATTTATCGAATTTGCAGCTAATCACAAATTTGACTAAGGAATCGAGTAAAAGAGTTTTCATCCAAGACCCACCATGGGTTTCCTCGCTTTTCATGAAAAGTCTGCTCATTCGAAGCAGAAATAAATGTGGGGTCAAAATAGAACATAAAGAAATGGAGAGGCGCAAATATTATTTACTAAGGAGGAGGCAGATTAAGGCGGAGACTGAGGCATGGGAGAATATGGTGGAGGAGTATAAAGAATTGGAGAGGGAAATGTGTGAGAAAAAATTGGCGCCGAATTTGCCTTATGTCAAGAAATTGATCTTGGGGTGGTTTGAGCCGTTGAGGGCAGCTATTGAGAAGGAACAAAAGTCCCGGAGGTCAAAGAAACATAAGACAGCTTTTTCGCCTTTTATTGATGCTTTGCCCGCAGATAAAATGGCCGTCATTGTTATGCATAAGATAATGGGGTTATTGATGATGGGGGGTAAGGATGATAGGTGCGTGCGTGTGGTGGAGGCTGCTATTCAAATTGGGGTAGCAATTGAGCATGAAGTGAGTATCTAATGTTTGGTATTTTAGGCAATTATGATTGTTTAAACTAACAATATATAAAAATTTATACATTCTTTATGATAGAACGACATTCGTTAAATTTGAATTAAATAATATTTATTTTTTAAATCATTTTAATTTGATTTAAAAACTTTATAATACTTTTTTTTTCTATTTTTATCTGCAATTTATATTTAATTTCGTTTATTTATTATATAATATATAGTATAGTATTGGTTTTAATCAAGTGAAGTAATGTGTGAAAATGGAGAAATTTTGTAGTGGAGGTGACATCGTAATGAAACGACGTTTAAAAATGGTGAAATGACGTGTGAAAAGAATGTTACAGTGTGATTGAATAGAATAATTTACTGTTGCCAAACCAATTTCAAACCGATTTTATGTGAAAATCTATGTGACAAAAATGAATAGTAAACTTCACATTCTCTCTTTTAAGATAAGGAGGTATATATATTAAAATAATTGTTCACCTGTATTAATAGTCAGAGAAATTTAGAAGGAATCACCATAAGAAATGAATTTTAAGAAAAATACTTCTTTTTGCACAGAAACAAAAGTTACAAAAAAATATCGAACAAAAAGAATATTTATTCTGCCTGAAATAGTTGACATGGATTTAATTGGTACGGCTTTGTTTTTTCATTTTTTTTAAAATTCATGTGAGCTTATAAGTTAAAACAAAAGTATAATCATGATTAAGATAAAAAAAGAAAAAAAAAACTTAATAGTTGAATGAACGGAAATCCATCAAGCGATCAACGTCTAGGAAAGTTACCATTTTTACATTGGGGGTAACTGCGTCAAATTTCTTCCAACTTTTGTCTTTATTGTGAAATATTTCATATCCTTTTATTTTGATGGAAAACCCCCTTAAATGACTCAAACTCCGTGGAATACCCCATGCCGTTCAATTTGTTAGTTTAAACGGTTAATGCACTAAAGAGGGCCAAATTAAAAAATGAATAGTCGTGATATCAAACCTTTCAATTTATTACATATTATACTTAAATTTTTTATTCTACAAGGTTTGGACCATCTAGAGGGTTTTCAACCAAAATGAAAGTATACGGTATTCCACAATAAAGACAATGGTCACAAAATTTTGCTCCAATTATATTTCACAACTTTACTAGTGAAGTGAGTGAAAAACAGTTCATTATCAGTAAACACTAAACAGCGCTGCAAAATTCAAAGGCCAGAGATACTGCTGCCTAGCGAACATGGTGGGTTGGTGGGATGGTGGGGACCAAATTGCTATAAAAACCATAAATTTGGGACCATAGTATAAATTCCGCCAAAAGGACTTGACAGAAAATGTAGGCTTAAAAATCTTGAAATGACCAATAGGGTTTAGCAGAGGTTCTAATTCCTTCTTATACAACCCCTTATCTGCAGCTCTACACACACATACGCAAGAATATCAATCACTCTGGCTTCCACAACTCCCTTTTCTCCGAGCCCCAGAGCTCAGTTCAGCCTCCCCTCTTCTTCTCATTCTTCCTCTTCATGGAAACGCCACAAAAATCCGAACTTTCTTTCAATTTCACCCTCAGAGCTTCCCATATTCTGTCAAAATCCCGATCTTTCCTCTTACTCTTTCCCTCACACCCTCAAACTCCCTACCCTTCGTAATGCCGCCCCTCTTCTTGTACCCCCTTTATCTGACTCTGCCGATGATAATTATGTGGAATCCCACCAAAATTTATCGAATTTGCAGCTAATCACAAATTTGACTAAGGAATCGAGTAAAAGAGTTTTCATCCAAGACCCACCATGGGTTTCCTCGCTTTTCATGAAAAGTCTGCTCATTCGAAGCAGAAATAAATGTGGGGTCAAAATAGAACATAAAGAAATGGAGAGGCGCAAATATTATTTACTAAGGAGGAGGCAGATTAAGGCGGAGACTGAGGCATGGGAGAATATGGTGGAGGAGTATAAAGAATTGGAGAGGGAAATGTGTGAGAAAAAATTGGCGCCGAATTTGCCTTATGTCAAGAAATTGATCTTGGGGTGGTTTGAGCCGTTGAGGGCAGCTATTGAGAAGGAACAAAAGTCCCGGAGGTCAAAGAAACATAAGACAGCTTTTTCGCCTTTTATTGATGCTTTGCCCGCAGATAAAATGGCCGTCATTGTTATGCATAAGATAATGGGGTTATTGATGATGGGGGGTAAGGATGATAGGTGCGTGCGTGTGGTGGAGGCTGCTATTCAAATTGGGGTAGCAATTGAGCATGAAGTGAGTATCTAATGTTTGGTATTTTAGGCAATTATGATTGTTTAAACTAACAATATATAAAAACTTGGGTTTTGTAATCTATACCGTCCTTTTTTGAAGTAAAATTGTTGTTTGTTTGGTTCTGAGTCTTCTAACTTCTGGGTTAAGACTCGCAATTAAGAAGATGATAGCACATTGTTACCGTTGTTGATGTTAGTAGCTCATTTTATTTTAAGTATGTGAAAATGAATGAAGTCAGCATAATCATCATATTCTTTATGACTTCAAGCCATTAACTGAAAGATTTTACTTGTGTTATTAGCATCATTCTATTAATAATAATTTCATTAAAATGAAGTGAGGCCTTTTTTTGGGGTGAAATTTACTAAACAGACAATGACGGAAAAAATCTGGTTCTTGGATGGTTCTGAGGGGTAAACACTAGGGGTGGGTAGGACCCAAAATTTTCGGGTGTTTAGTAAGTGGAACCGTGAATTTTACTAAACAGACAATGACGGGAAAAATTTGGTTCTCGGATGGTTCTGAGGCATAAACACTAGGGGTGGGAAGGCCCGAAATTTTCGGATGTTTAGTAAAGTGGAACCGTTCACGTTTGGTTCTGTACTATAGTTAATTTTTTTAATATTTACAAAACTACATTAATTTAACCAATGATATATCCAATTTTTACTCTTATAAAATAACTTAGTCCAATCTTATACGTCTTTTGCATATTTATTTGTTGAGTTCTTTAGAGATTTGATTATTAAAATGATAAGAAGAGGGCGATGACGGGCTTATAATAATTAAAAGAGGAGTTGTCAAGTTTCAATTCGATTTTTCTAGAACGGTAGAAATGACAATTACGACACTACAGTAGAATAACAGATTTGGTTCAAACTTTGGTCAATTTGATTAAGTTAGGTTTGGATTGAAAATTAGAAATATGAAAATTTTATTTTTGGGTTTGAGCTAAATTAGCTAGATGGCAAATTTATTTAGAAAAAAAGTAAAATAATTTAACTTATTTAAAATAAATAAATTTTAAAAAAATTAAGGAGATTTCGTTCTTATTCGGTTCTTTTGTTCTTGATCTAGAATCAAGAATAGATTAAGAACCGAACCGAACGATTCAAATACCTGTTCGGTTATTTAATTTATGAAGAGCCGTTCGGTTCGGTTCAGTTCAGTTTGATTCTTTTCGAGGGTTTTGCCTAGCCTTAGCAAACACGTACGGATAGAATTATAGTATCTTATTGGACTTGTTTCGTGAACTTGGATGAGGTGGGTCTAATGGATAAGCTCTGAAGGCTTTGGCCAATTTCAAACTAGCTTTGAGTTGGCTCTTTAGTGTTCTGATGTGTTACTTTAATCAAATTAAATTTGTATCCTCATCCAATGGTCAATGAAGTCACTGACTTTGTAGCTTAGCTAATTCTATCGAGTGGACATCTCTCTAGTTAGTGTAATTGGCGTCCCTAACATAATTCTACGAATTTTTCTTGTATTTGGCGAATATCTGAAATTTAATCTTCAGTTACTCTGAAGAATATAGTAATCTCACTCTACGGTATCCATCCCTTCCCCCACCTTATCTCTATTCTCACTGTACCTTTTCTGTTATCCAGATCTAACTATATTTTCTTAGCTAGCAATCATGTGACAATAAATTCTGAGATATCTTTGTGATTGTAATTTGTATTTCAGGTTAGGATTCATAGCTTCTTGGAGAAAACTAGGAAATGTCAGAGGCGGGGAATTGTAGATGAAAGTCAAGGAATTTCAAGTAAGGAAGCTTTGCTTCTAAGAAAACGCGTTAAGAGTTTAATTAGAAGAAACAGAGTTCACGAGGTCCAAAAACTGGTGAGAAATGAAGAGTTCAAGTCATGGGGTCGAGATACACAGGCTAAGGTCTGAAGCCTTTAATATCTGTTCTCCTCAAGTACTAAAAAATTAGAGGGCTGTTTGGTTCAGTTATTGTTTCTTGTTTTTTGAAAAAAACTAAAGTTGTTTTTTGTTCCCCGCCTTTTTTTCAAAGATACTTGTAAGTTTACTGGTTTTGAGGTAACATAACAATCAAACTCAAATCTGTATGCACGTAGAAGGATCAAGATGCAGTTCTTTTATGAATGATAATAGAACATGCTCTAGGAGAAAGTATATGTACCCATGGAAGTGAAAGAAAAAAGAAACAGGAAAATATAAAGAAACAATGCACTGAACTCAATTGCAGATTGTAATATAAACAATCTGCAGTCTCCCTAAATAAATTTTACTTAGCATACCCTGTTACTTGATAAATACTTGAAGAATTATCACAAAGATATTCGAAAGAATTAGTAATACAACAATGATGGAAAAAGAAATTGGTCCATCTGTATAAAATTAGAGAGCAGAGGCAAGATAATTTCTTTGCTGTTTGTGAAAATAGAATCTGGTGGGAGTCATTCTTTAATGAGAGAAGCTTGCCTATAGGAAGATTACTTTAGAGTTCTTTTTACTCGTTGGCACCAACAACATAGCTGTATTTTACTGCTTGAAGCTATTTATAGAAACAATAGAATTGACTTGGATGCCAATTTCTCATCTGGATTTGTAAAATCAGAATTTTGATCAAATCACATATCTTAATATACCGTGCTAGAATGAAATTTATTAATATTTGGAGAACTATTTTGAGAAGCTAAAAGCAGAACTAGATATATTTGTTGCTTACTCTTTAATAATGACTGCTTTTTGTATAAATCCAAATCCAAAAATCAGAATTGAACCAGACAGTCCCTAAGTTGTCACCCAACTATACATATGCCTTTGTTACAATGGTAATTCATTTTTCTCACCTTATGTCATGCAGTTGGGATGTTGTCTGATAGAGCTATTAACACATACTGCTTTTGTGCAACCTCCAGTTAATCAGTCTGCCGATAGCCCCCCTGATGTTCGCCCTGCATTTAGGCACCTCTTCAAAATTGCAACCAGAGAACCAGGGTGAGAATTACTAATTTAGGGAAAATTTTAATAGAACCATGGTCATCATGCTTGCCTACAAATTAATCTAACCCTGCTCTTGAAATCTACATATTAATATGTTACCAATGTGGCGCTCAGAAAATGGCCAGCAAGTTCATGTTCTATTGAAAATGTTATGGTTCATGCACGTGACACATTAAGGTGGATTGGTTGGGAATGGCCATGATGCATTATTCTGCAGTTTATGTTTAAAACAATAATTATTCCGTCTCTTTCAGGCAGAACCTTGTGAAGAGGTATGGGGTCATAGAATGTGATCCTCTGGTCCTTGATGGGCTTGATAGAACTGTGAGTCAATTGAGCTTCTTTTAGTTGTTTCCTGTTTGTTCTGTTCAGTGTGCGAAATGTATATTTTCAGTAGGCTATAATAGATACATTCTTCTACCTGGCTGACAAACATGTCTACATGAGTTTAATGTTATTTTTAATTTTTAATTTATTTTGTTGGAATATCATTTTGAATAGCTATTTTGTCAGATGATCTTGATAACTGAACTATATGTAAATTTATTCTGTCTTATAATATTGTAGCCAGTACTTCTGGTACAAATTCATGATGCTATTCTTGGTTTTTTATTTATGAATGACTTCTCAAAATAATATATATGTGTGTGTATGTGTATATTTTTTTTCACATAAAGAATACACTGCCCTTTTTCCTTTTAAAATTTTTGAATTTTTTACCATCTAAGCAATGTAAATTTTCAGCTATCAGTTTTCCACTTTTGCCTGAAATTTTATAATTTTATCCTCTATGCAGGTTAAGCATATGATTATTCCTTATGTGCCGATGTTGGTGCCACCAAAAAAATGGAAAGGGTATGATATTGACTCTTCTTCACGATAATTTAAGATTGAACTAACAGAGGATTATGAAGGCCATTCCCAGCTGAAGTTTGTCTTACATTTTTGTTATTTACTCATCCTTTCAGGTATGACAAAGGTGGCTACTTTTTCTTACCCTCATATCTGATGCGTACACATGGATCACGGCAGCAACAAGATGCTGTTAGAACTGTTCCTGGGAAACAAATGCAAAAAGTGTACGAGGTTGGAGCTGGAACGATTTTTATATTTCAGTTTAAGCATGCTCAAAATGCCAAATTAGGCGGTAGAGTTGTGTGTTCAGTTGCATATTAGTTATGCTTATTGTCTTAATGAAGGTTAAATATGTTAGCTTCTTGATTATTTTTAAATGTATGTAGTGTTTCCTTTCATCAAATTAATGGTTATCGTATCTGTCACTTAAATGAAACTAGAGGTCCTTTACTTTTTCAACATTTGATTTTAGTAGGTACCCAATACAACCCTTTCTTGTATCACTGGATACTTGTTGCTCGAATGCTCTCGTAGTTTCTTTAATGAGATGTGTGATGCAAGCAACATATTCAGTTTTAATTGTATTTGCAGGCTCTGGATACTTTAGGTAACACTAAATGGAGAGTGAATAAGCGTATACTGGGTGTGGTGGAGAGCATTTGGGCTGGGGGTGGCAACGTTGCTGGCCTGGTAAATCGTGAGGATGTGAGTGCATGCTAAATTTTTTGTAGTTTCTTTTTTGTTGCCCACCAAATATTGATTCTACTCATGTTATTTTCTTGAAACACTAATAGCTTATATGTTTTGTCTTGATGGAAATTATATCATTTTGCAGATTCCAATACCTGAGCTGCTCTTTGATGATTTGAAAGAAGTAAAAGCATGGAAATGGAGTGTGAGAAAGGCAAAGAAAATTAATCGAGAGAGGCATTCTCAAAGATGTGACACGGAGCTCAAGCTTTCTGTAAGATTTATTTCAATTTCTGATTATGTGATCACTATTTCGCTCTGCAAATGGAAATTGGCATCAAGTTATGATACCCGCTCAACTAATTCCCTCAACACTTTCCAGACTTTTAAAGTTATAAGTTGTCTGAGAGGTTGAAATCAACTAGTTAGTCATGTTGGTCCCACAATTTTCAGTCTGTACTTTTCTGTAACTTAAATCAAGTTGAGATTCTGAAGAAACAGAATTCACTTAACTGAATAAGTCCTCTTTATTTATGCTGGATTGGTTTTGTAATCTCACTTTCGATCGCAAAATTCATATAGTGCTCCCCTTTTTCTGCTTCAGGAAAGGTATGCCACCACTATTCTTTGATGCATAGAGCACGATAAAGAATTCTCCTGTGAATAAATACTCAGGATTTATGCTCAGTTGATCAAGATAATGTCTGGTCATACTAGAAGGGCTTTAGCCTTAAATTATTATGCTTAAACCTAGATGATTAGTAATTGAAGTTTCTAGTTCAACAAAAGATTACCTTATGAACTCTAATCAGTCTTTTTAAATCAGGTTGCTAGGAAGATGAAAGATGAAGAAGGTTTTTACTATCCCCACAATCTTGATTTTCGAGGCCGCGCATATCCTATGCACCCACATTTGAATCATCTAAGTTCTGATCTGTGTAGAGGAATTCTTGAATTTGCTGAAGGAAGACCTCTAGGAAAGTCTGGGTTACATTGGTTGAAAATACATTTAGCAAATCTTTATGGAGGGGGCATTGAAAAGCTTTCATATGATGGGCGTCTCTCGTTTGTGGAAAACCATTTAGGGGACATATTTGATTCAGCACATAAACCTCTCAATGGAAATCAGTGGTGGTTAAACGCCGAGGATCCTTTTCAATGCTTATCTGCTTGTATTAATCTTTCAGAAGCCTTAAAAAGCCCATCACCATACACTGTTGTTTCCCACCTTCCAATTCACCAGGTATATACCCTATATCCCGTCTCCTTTCTTTCTTTTGAAAATTTCCCTGATATTGGTAAGAAGTTCAAGTGTGTGTTTGGGGTGACAGTGTTAAGGTTTCATGATATATGCTCTCTTTATTTATTTTTGATTGATCTGATTGTGTTCTTAATCTTAGGATGGCTCATGCAATGGCTTACAGCACTATGCAGCTCTTGGGAGAGACAGTGTATGTTGTGTTTGTTGACAATTACTTTATCTTGTCCTGATGATCATTCATCGAAATGCTGTGTTTCATCTTTCATATATTACTGGGGATAACACTTCGAGAGATCCATATTCCTGATACCATTGAAATTGCTGTTTGAACTAGTTCATGCACTAGAAATATTTTTTTCCCTCCAACTAGCACCTTTTCTTAAATGTTCTGGTAAACAAGAAATTGATATTTACTACCGTAAGTGTGGGTTTAATGCCAGCGAAATATATTTCCTTTGCACTAGTACATGGCGTTGATTTGGGGTAAATTTGGGGAAAGACTTTATTGAATTTTGAATTTTATTTCTCAAAAATGATGCTTGATTCTGGCTCTCTCCCTGATCCTTTTGTGCTCTGGCATTCTATTAACAGTGCAACATTTCTCGTTTTCTAGTTAGATTGCTGTATACATTTCATAAATCCTTCACCGGGTTCTGATGTCTTTTCAGTTTGAAGCAGCTGCTGTCAACTTAGTTGCTGGAGAAAAACCCGCTGATGTTTACTCGGAAATTGCAGAGAGGTATGTTAATGACTGTCTAAGTTTCTGTAACTCTAAAGTCGGATTTTTCTTTCAGGATTTGACAGAAACCTTTTTTTCCCTACATTTATGTAGCGATAAACCTGATTGTTGCTCCTGGATTTTGATTTGTTTACTAGCTTCAGGAACGACATTTTGCCTAGACCTTCTGATGGAGTCATTGTCCGACGTTTATTGTCACTAATTATATTGTAATTGTAGTGTCCCAGATTTCATCATTGGAATAAAAGTAAGATAGATGCAAGTGGATCACTGTGTGATAACCAAGAGCTATGGAGTTGATAACCATCCTCGCCGATGTAAAAAAATTACATGCCCCATTCACCTCCATCAACTTCTTCTTTGCCAAAATGAACTAACTGTTACATTCTCGAGTCCCATCCAAAGTCATACCACTGATAAGAAAAACAATTCCCTTCTTATTCTGAGAACAATTACTTTCTCGTTTGAGTGGGGAAAAATTGAATTTGAAAAAAAGAAAAGAAAACAAGAAGTCAATTCCAGCCACCTTCAAAGTTTTGGCTGTTATACGTTGGCCGGATCCATATTTTTCCATTCTTACTATACATTAAATTTATCCTGTGGTTTTATCAATAATTGGAGTAAAAATTAGGTATCATAAATGTTCTGCTCAATGCTTCATCCGTGATGGTGCTCTTGGATGGAACACGAGTTAAATTTTTTAAAAAATGCAGCAGTAATAAAGCAGTCAAAGATTTTTGGTCTTTATGATCTCTATATTTTCTTCTGTTGAATATAAGAAAGTGGTTAGGAAAGGTGATGAAAAGCAAAATATGAATTTAATAATAATGCAGACTTTCCTATTGCTATACTTTGCTCACAACAAAAAAAAAAATTGTGCCTTGTCCTGTGAACTGTACTTTTCTGACAGCTCTTGAAATTATAGCCTATATGCTGATTTTCTCGGAATGTATAGAACTAGGCATTCAACTCCCTTTACCAATTCTTTGGCTTGGAATTTTGATGAAATTATATTTAGAAAATCAGAAAATTGAATTCGATGATTGTGAATCTAGATTTTCCAATGGAATCAAGTACGATTATCTTTCAATATACACGCTTTCTGAACCTCAAGCAAAGCAAAGATAGAGCCAAGGTTTGTTATTCGGCATTTGACAATGCTCTTATATTGGTGATTGCACGAATGTCAATTGACTTCATAAAAACTAAGAGGAAAGGTTTTAGATTGAGAGTGGAACCAATGACAATTTCTTCTATCTAGGCTTCCAATCAACTTCAGATAATCTTGTAGAACAGAAATTAGATAGTTTTCTATCTCGATGTTTTGATTCTTTCTTTTTCTGTGCTTAAATTAATGTTTTTGTAATCAATGTAATCGATTCATTCTTGCTTTCTGCCTTTACCTCTTGGTATAGTTTGTTTTTCTCAAAAAATAGATTTTGGTTGTCAGGGTTCACAATATCATGAAAAAAGACAGCAGTAAGGATCCTGCAACTCATCCAAATGCTTTGCTAGCCAATCTCTTGCTTGGTCAGGTTAGTTTTTGGTTATAGCTTTTTTTCTTTGTTAGTTTCAAATTTTCAATATTTCTTGAATTTTTGAAACTTACTACCTATTTTTATTTTCAATAGTAATGGGTTCATGGTAACTGAGAATTTGGACCTTTTGTATGCAACTTGTGCAATTTGAGAATATGATGTCTTGAAAACTTTCAGGTGGACAGGAAACTCGTGAAACAAACAGTAATGACTTCAGTATATGGTGTTACTTATGTTGGGGCACGTGAGCAGATCAAAAGAAGATTGGAGGAGAAGGGTCTTATCACTGATGACAGGCTGCTCTTTAGTGCAGCTTGTTATGCTGCAAAAGTAAGTGCATATTTGGCGAAGCTTAAATTTTAGTCTAAGCTGATCAAACTTACAAAAAAATTCACACATTTTGTAGAATCCGTAACTTACTAATCTCTTTTTATTTACATATTTCATAGGACTCACTACTTATAAGCACTCTGAAACATGCTCTGAGTTTCAACCAACCTTTTTGTACTTTTGGAGTCTTCAATACATAATGTCTTGTAGAGAATCATGAATAGATTTTGTGGAAAGTCTTGTCTGCAGATAGTACTTCTATACGCCTTGATTATGTGGCTTTATGTCCCTATCTTAAAGAAATTGCCTTTATTAATTGAAATAACTGTTTTAATTTAATTCATGTATCTACATTTGTATTACTATATCATAATGAGCTATCATTTGATTTGGATTGATTATTAAGTGAGACTTAAAAATCTAGGATTTTTAGCATAATTTTCAAATTTATACCTGTGTAAATATTGGAGATGTTTCTAAGCCAGAAAAGTTTGGCCCTTCATAAGAAAGAAGAAAAGAATGTTTGGACATAGTCTTTATCAACCACTATCATGTAGTTCCATTATGGTCTTTTTCTATGAGTTATGCACGTTAGTTTATATGCACAACTGCTCGTGTGCACGTCCATTATACTTAAATCATATTGACTCATTGAAAGAATTAGGAAACCATGCTAGAACCTGACATAGTGTGCGTTGACAATCTAGTAGCTACCTACAATTTCTGGGAATTAAATGAAATATTTTAAAAATATTACTTGGAATTTTTTCACAGGTGACATTGACTGCTCTTGGAGAGCTATTCCAAGCGGCACGAGCTATAATGGGCTGGCTTGGTGACTGTGCTAAGGTTTGTTAAATTTGGATTGACATTTTTATATAGTCAATCAATTTCACGAACCTTGATTGATGAATAATGTATTTGCAGATTATTGCTTCAGAAAATCAACCAGTGAGTTGGACAACTCCACTGGGCCTCCCTGTTGTGCAACCTTACTTCAAAACTCAACGGCACGTTGTAAGTGTTTTTACATTTGAATTGAATCTGCAACTTGTGTAAAATTTATGCTTCGAAAATTATCTTGGTACTAATATCATTGTGTGAACATTGAATGAATACTCGATTAATTTGAATGCTAATCATTGCCGTTCACCATTAAATTATTTTTTCTGCATTAAATGAAATAAACGAGAAGATTGATAAAGCTAGCGATTCCTTGATTATAAGCAGTGTTGAAAGCGTTCATATCCGCCCACAATTATGTTAGAAAGTCTTTGCAATTTAACGCTCAAAAGTGGGGAGTCATAGTCCCTTCATCAAAAACACCTGTTCATTAAACGTTTTGAAGTGGATAAAATTAAACCAATTCTTTCCTTACAGATTCGATTCTGAACTATGGAAACTTTATATCTTGCGATTCTGATTTACTTCATGCAATGCAGATAAGAACTTCTCTTCAGGTGTTGGCTTTGCAACGCGAGGGTGATTCAGTAAGTTGCATAGTTCTTAGACTAACTCTCTCCTTTTGTGCAAATGCATTTGGCATTCCAATTACTGATTGTTTTATTATAATGTCTAACCCTAGGTTGAGATCAGAAAACAGAGAACAGCATTCCCTCCGAATTTTGTGCACTCGCTCGATGGTTCACACATGATGATGACTGCCATTGCTTGTCGAGATGATGGATTGCGTTTTGCAGGTTTATCTTTCCTCCCTCTTAATCTTTTTTGTGATTTCTAAGTATTTCATGCCTTGAACGTATTCTTTAAAGAAATTTTATTTAGCATTCACTGGAGACACCGAATGTATTAGACTGCACTGACGTGTAGCATCCCTATGTACCCATGTCTTCTTAAGACTCCTCTGAGAGAGAACTGTGGATCTTTGTCTAACCTCTGATTGCAATTTGACGGGCTTCAGAGAAATTAAAGCTGGTTGTACAGGGCCACATGGGCCCTGTAGCCCTGTACTACCAGCATCTCCCTTTCTTGCAATTTAAGGTTTTGTAAGATAGGACTTTTATGAGAATGCTTTTCAGAGTAGCTGATGTATTGCAGGTGTGCACGATTCCTTCTGGACACATGCGTGTGATGTTGACAGGATGAATCAAATATTAAGACAAAAATTCATCGATCTTTACAATATTCCTATACTCGAAAATGTAAGCATTATAGCATACCCTCTAGCTCCTTTCATTAGCTCAAGATATTTTTACTGATTTCTAGACGTCTCAGTCCTTCATTTTCCAGTGAATATGGAAGTAACCACTTAAGAGTATCTAGATGATTTACTTCCACTTTTTACTTTGATTCATTAACAGTTGCTGGAAAGCTTCGAGACGTCGTACCCGTCATTATCCTTTCCCCCTCTACCAAAAAGAGGAGACTTCAACCTGGAAAAAGTACTCGAATCTCCATACTTCTTCAACTGATCCTCCCTGTGCAGCCATCGCTGATGTTCATAATTAGAAAATATCGTGTTGATTGCACCGGTGATCTTAGCAGTAACCAGGTGGTATTTTGAGCAGGCAATGATTTTGCCTCTGAAGAATGGTTTTCTTTGCATGACACAACTATCCTGAAACTTAGCAGAAGTATTGCCAGGCGTAGAGTCGAGAGGACAGATTTTTAAGTCCCTGCTCGTTTATATGACCAAGCACGCACCTGCATTGGAATTTCAAGATGTTTGAAGTTCCTAGTTTCTGGTGTCCTTGGTGATCTCATATGTGCGGTTATGCACTCTTATGATAGGAAACAGTTTTATAGAAGATCCCGACTTATCTAATATGCTGGTCTTCCAAGTGACGGGAGTAATAGGAGAAGCCCAGTCCTTGTGTCCGGTCGACATGAGTACCTGTATTGCATTCTAATGTGTTCTCTTTGACATGGATGCACGGTCCTCCTTGCTCATTCTTGAAAGTTCCATTTACGCTTGTCATGCCTACACTGCCCCATATATCTAGAAACGGTGAATATTCACACTTATTTTGCGGTGCAGGAGATTTTTCATAGTGCCAAGATACGATGTACATATTCCTGTATTACTAATGTGAAGAGTATAAATTTATGATGTACAGTAAACAATTCTTTGTCAGTTGGAATGAATCAAATGGTACGGAGTTGCATTTGCCGTTCTTGATGGTCCAAACATAATTAAATTCTAAAACTTGCATCAGTGCATTTTTGTTGTCGGAAAAAGGATTGATTAAATAAGAGAATCCACTGGGAAAAAAAAAAAAATAAAAGGCTCTCGAAAGGGTTCTATCTGATACCAAATCCAGGTGCTTGTTCACAAACAGAAATTCTTTAAATCCAGTTGCTTGTTGACAATACCGACCGATCAAAATGCACTTGATAAAGATGATATAATACCGCTGGAGGA